AATAATAATTCTTTTAAATAATTTATTTATTTGTTTATCTATTTTTAGTACAATTAAGTTTCAAGATAATAATTTCATATGATTTTTTTTAGTGAATAAATAATTTATCCTCAAAAAATAATTAGTAAATCTGTTCATTTATTTTTTTATTTTGTATACAGTTTAATTTAAATAAGATATCAATTTCAATGATCATTTTTTTTTAGAAATCAGAAAAAAAGTGAATAATGAATAATAAATTCTTAAAATTAACAATAACAATATTAATTTTGATGATCGATTTTTTTAGAAATTTTTAACTTTTGTTACCTATATCAATGATCATTTTTTTTAGAAATTAGAAAAAAATGAATAGTTTCTAAAAATAGATAAACAATTTTGATATATTATTTTTTAGAAATTTCTAACATTATTATCTATTTTTAGTGTAGTAGCAAACAAAAAATCTTTAAAAGTACATGATTTTCATATATAGCGATATTCAATTTTTTTTTATCATTATAAAACTAAAAAAAATAAAATAACTTTTCTTTTCTTATAAAAATAAAAAAAGCTAAAAAAAGATTATAAAAATGATTTTTTTTTTATAAATAAATAAAAACTAAAAAAAGATTATATAAATAATTTTTTTTTATAAATAAAAAAACTAAAAAAAGATAACATAATATACATATAGATAAGAATAGTTAGATTTTGTGGAACAGTAAAACGCTAATATCCGCGGTGTTTGAAAAAAAATCAAATTTAATCTAGATTTATGGCACAGTAAAATCTTTAAATAGATTATGCGGTGTCATTTAATAAAAAAAATTTATAATAACGGTTTCGGACGTTAAATTAAATCGTGATTGGTATAATTCGCAGTTGTTAAAGTTGGTGTCATTTTTCAAACAAAAAAAATTTATACGTAGATCTTTTAATTCTATATTTATGACACAGTAAAAATTTTAAATTAGATTCCGCGGTGTCATTTAATAAAATACTTTATAATAACGTTACACTTAAAATAAAATTTAGATTTATGCCCAACGACACGGATTTTTGAAACGTTATCATTTTATGTTTACTCATATGGATTTTGTAACACTGTACGGTCAGGAAAGAATCAAACTGCTTTCCGTGGGTTTTCCGTGTATTTTATTTATATATATCATCTCAATTGCCGTTTTTTTTTCTGAATATTTTTCTTCAATATTTGAATTGACATAAAATTGAATATAAAATGGAGATATTGAATAAATTACAAGAGCCTATTCCCCAATATGTATCTGGCACCTTTCCAGCAATTGCAACCATAGGAGCAGCACCATTTAATAGCTTTAGAGCAAAGCTCTTATGGATATTTCGCATCTTAGGGTGCCCATTCACTGGTTTGACGTATTTTTGCAATGTAAAAAATAATGATCCGTTGGCAATGTGCGCATACTGGCTTCCTTCAGAAAATTTTGAAAAAGAAGATGGTAAAAAGATCCCCTATCGGCCTTTCGGACATTATGCTATGGAATTAAGCCCCGAAAGTGAACAGTATAGAAAGATAAATGAATGCGTAGCAAAGTCATCTGTTCTAGAACGATTAGGGTCATTGGCGACAGCATATTTTATATTAGTTGGTACGATTACAGCCATAGCTAAATTGGCAAGAGTATCAGATAGAGATAATTGTTCGGATTGGACATATCTACCAATATTATTATCCTGGACATTGCCGGCTATAGTTATTCGAACAATCAAAGGAAAAATAGTAGTTTTTGATCCGAGTGTAAAATTAGTAAATGAAAAAATCATTGCAAGTAAACTCTCTAGTGGAATGAGATCTGACTCGCGTGCTCATATTTTGATCACTGCTGTTGCATCGATAACAATTCCTTGGATAACGGTAGCCATAGCGTATTTTACGCCCCCAGTTTCATTTGCTTGTAGATCCAAATTCCTTACAATATTTTGTTCCATATGGTCCTTCAACAACACAATCGCATATATATCGCATATCGTTGGAGAAAAAACTGTACGAGGACGTTCAGTGATCCACAGCTGGTTTTGTTTTAGTGGTATTGTGATAGCATTTCTTTTGGTTTTTCTAGGTATACTATCTAATGGTCCATCATGGTGGGTAACCCTGTTTGGAAAAGGATGTGACGTTTCATCAGTATGTACGAATGGTTAGACAATATTTTCTCTAGTCTAGTAATGATAAATACTAAAAGATGTACTAATTTATTTTGAAACAGATCGATCAAACTTATATCATTTTTGAATTTATTGAGTATACACTTACAACATACAACATAAATGAATTATGTATTGACATTTTCTTTATTATCTATACTTATTTATAAAATAAAGTATTATATATTTATGTTAAAAAATTGACCGAAATTTTTAAAAAATATATTCATTATGTTTGCTTATTTGAATTAAAACTAAATATTAAAATTTTGATTCAATGAGTCCAAAAGAAATTGCAAAAGCAGTAAAACTAGATTCCAAAATTTGATTCTTCAATATGCATCGTTAATAGTTTTACGGGGCGGGAAAATTGCTGTGGATATTCTGATTTTGATGTCTTTTTTTTTACATTTGGATCTAGCATATAAAAATAATACACTTGCATTCACAAATCAAAGAATCACTCAAATCTGATGAATTTTTGGTTTTTTAGATTAACCATTAACTTTAAATGAATAAAAGTACAAAAAACTTTATAGCCTGAGATGATGTGTCAAAAGAATTATATTTTAAAGCGCAGGGTAAAGGTATCATTTTTGATGCATCTAAGGTTGAGTCTTCAGCAGAAATTTTTTTTTTCGAACGCAACTATTGGTCTTTGATGTGATTAATAAAAGGCTTCGAATCGACTTATCAAAAGAAGTCCTTACCCGAGTTCCCACTTGAATTATATTATCCATCCGTTTACCAAAAAAAATATGGCATATAATATTATTATTTTTAGTTTGAAGAAAAATTTAGAAATGTCAGCCTTTGACTAATTTTTTTTTGTTGTAAAAAGCGCATAGGTGAACTTTACAATTGATCTCTTGTAAGTTAATACATTTATAAGTTGGAAAAATAAATATTATTATGAATTATTTTTAGGCATTAAAACAATAGAAAATATTTTAATTGGATGTTGATCAAGGAAAGTCTACATTCAGCAAAGGCTGGTGAAGCACGGTTTACTGACACTCAACAATTTACAAAATTTACAAAGGGTTGATCGTGAGACAACTGCATTTGCTTTAAAAAATATTCCATTTAAATTTGCATTAGTCCTACGTGGACATTTTGGAATATCTGTCATGGTCACGAATGTACAGTTCAGGAACAGATGAATTATTGGAGGTTATAATCCTTTAGCATGGGATAGCAGTAATATTAATAATAAATGGATAGAAAAAAAAAGATAATTTTGTTTTCTCATTAAAATGGTAGTCTTTCTAATTCAATTATCAGTAGAGTAAAAAATCTCTGAAAAAATGATATCACTTTAGATTATGGTTGTTTCTGTAATATTTATGGAGAGCTTAGTGTAAAGCCTATAAGATCACCATTACCGAGATATTTTTCAATCATCAATTATGAAGTATTTAAGATTGTTAAGGAAAATTTTATACTTTAGGAAAATAATAAATATTTATAATTTTCCTCCATATCAATATGTATTTATATTTTATATGCATCAATATTATTATTTAAGATTAGCTTTTCATTGTAAATTTGTGAAATTTTTATATCTTCTACTCCAATTAAATTACTAAATCGAATTTTGAATAGTATTATTAAATTACATCGGTTTTATAACAAGAATTATAAAGTCGAAAACTATGATTTTTCCTAGAAACCAAAGTTATTCATTGCATTATTTAGAATATATTTTACCATTATTGGGTATTTGTCCAAAATTATGTAGGATCTCAATTAGTTTGGTTTTTAATTATTTTTGATTACGAAAATTCTTGATTAATGTATGTACATAACATTTTACTTAGATTATTGACAGCAATAAATATTTTTTTGTTTTGATAGAAAGAATATACATATGTACATATGAGTTTTTATAAGTATATGACTTTCAATTATCGTATTTTAAGTTTTAGAAATAAAAAAATGATGAAAAAAAAATAGTCTACTTCTAATTTAGAGGAAATGCGAAATTATCCAGGCAAACAATTGAATAAGAAAAATAAAATAAAGAATCAAATAATAACATACAAAAAAAAATTACCACGATAATATACTGTTTTGAAAAGAATAGAGTGCTTAGCAAATTATTTCAACATTTTGACAAGAATATTAATTATGATTTATTTATTTATTATTACAGTTGACTTTTTATTACATTAATGATTGTTGTAAATTCAAAAAATCAATGGATCTTCGTGAATGATTTGTTGCTATGTTGATCGACAGTACAATATTTAAAATTTAAATAAAATTTCGTTATATTTTCATAAAAATTATAATCAACAAATTTTTATTTTATTCAATGAAATTATTATAAAATTCAGTAATACTTATAGCTTATTTTAGAAATAAAAGAGTCATTCGTACCGGAGGTTTCAGAAATTAGTATAGTACTGAGGTGGTACAAAAATGTCCTAAACACATTGTCACTATTTGGATGAAATTATCTTTGTGCGTCACACATCATCCTTCATCCAAGATGAAAGATAATATCCTCGATTTTATGGATGATGGTAGATGAAAGTAAATAATGGGAAGATATAAAAATAGCTGTGAAAAGAAAGAAGAAAAAGAGATTCATTTTTGCCAAAAAGAACAAGAACTAAAATAAAAATATTTTACTTGATATTTTGAATAATTTTAATTTTAGTTTTATTTTTACTTAAATATTTTGAACATTTTAATTTAGTTTATTTTTACTTTTCATTCATAATATTTTTTAATAATAATAAAATAATTTCGTATAGCAATAGAGATAAGATACGCTAATACAGTAATATATTTCTATTGTTGTATTTCTGTAATAATTTTAATAATAATAAATAATATAGTAACGGAATAACAAAAAGTGATAAGATACGTCAAAGCAATAATATATTGCTATTGTTATACTCCAATACAAAATTTTAATAAATTTTAATAAACTATTTTGTATTTCTTGGCAAAGTTACATTAAAAAGACTATTTCAGTTTGATAGTATGCCAGCAGTAATAAAGATATTTATATTCCATTTGCTCATTGTACCTTCAGATATTACACGTAATTGCATTGTTTGAGAATGGTAGTAAACAGGTTTAGATCAACTGATTACCTAATCTTACTGAGTTTCGTAATATTGCATACAAGAGAAATATGTTAGTGATATATTAAATTATCATGTAATTATTCTAAACTTATTGAGACTAATTTGTGTAACTTTTCACATTGTTCTGCAAAAACTGTAACAGAATTTTGATACCTCCTGTAAGGTTGGCATAAAGTATCTTGATCATTTTTTTTCCTTTTGAGTAAATCTGTTTCATAGATTTATGAAAATCTTTATCACATAAAGCTAAAATTGATTTTTAAGAACTTTTTTTCTTTCTCTGTTTTATATCTGTTCTTATTCAGAAAGGAACCAAATCAGCTACTAAAAATAGAATAAAATAATAAATACCTCTAATTCCTAATCTTTGATGAGAAATAGTGATCAGAAATAGCTTTTAATATAATAAAATCCTCAATAATTAACAGATCAACAACAAGAGACAATTTAACAAAAATTGATATAACTAGGTGAAATATAAAATCTTTGAAAATATTTTTTTACGAATAGTCTAAATGAAACAACAGCCAACTTGTCAAGTAGGAAAATAACCTGAAAATAATCAGGAGGATGAGTCAAGTTATTGAAGAAAGCAAAATCAACACTTTAATAAAAGGACTACAAAACACCTTCTGTATAAGGAATGATATGAAGATGCTGATGTTCTGTAGAGGAAACCAAAACCCTATGGAATAACTAGAAGAGTTTAATAGATCTGCAGGAATAAACCAATATAACAATGAATATAAGTTTCATGTAGTTAGCAGATATTTACAAGGTACAGCTGAGCAATGGTTTAAAGAAATATAGAAAGAACAGAATCCTATTGTATAGTGGAGTGACAGAGATTATTTAAACATTCTTTTTTGACTACTTTCAAAATACCTATGCTGATGAACCAGTAGAATTACAAGTTACAGATGAAGGTCTAAAAATTAAATGAAATTGTGAAATGATATATTAATAATATCAAAAGGCTAATTAAGAAGATCAATAGTGAAAACTGGTGGAGCCAAAATGAAAAAATTTGGTACTTCTTGAAAGGACTGAGAAAAGATATCAACTATCAAGCATGGTAACTCATTTTGTTCTAAGAAGACACTACACTCGAAACTGTGGTTAGAATTGTGAAACAGTCTGAAGAGATGCACAAACATATTCTGAAACTGTAGCTAATATGGTGTCATCGCACTGACGGACATACAAGAATTTGCACCTGCACATAATAGAGATAATGAAAGGGAAGACAGAATAGTGTAAATAGTGCAGAAGACCTTGGCTTCAATAGTTAAACACAACAGAAGGTCATGAAAAGGGAAAGCAGAATGACAAATACATCACATAGATGACTTAACTACAACAACAATAACAGGGAACAAAATATAAGGGGTTACAATGACAATACCAATAACTCACTCTACTATTTTACCTGTATCCAAGCAGAATACATATTATAGACATGTTCTATAAGGCAGGGAAACAAAGAAACTCCGATATCTTTTCCTTTTAAAGACCAACTGGAATTTAGGCTGGCACTATTATTAGTTAACCTTTCAGACTAATTTTATTTTCCAAAAGGCAATTTACAACTAGCCACTCATAAACAGTTACTTTGATTTACAAATTGAAGGAGATAATTTAAAGTTAATAAAAGTATAATTTTAAGTTGAATACTAAAACTAATCAAAGGACTTAGGAATTTATGATCACAGGAATTAAGTTATTAATTAATGGTTAAATTTTAAAAGACAATTTAAGAAATTAGATCAAATAGCTACTGTAAATATATTTGTCAATGATTTATAAAGTAATAACAGAAGTTTATTAATCAGAATTTATATTTGAAAAATATAAATTAGTTGAAAAGTAACAGAATTTTAATATAGAGAATATAAGT